GGAGGGCAAAAGGGATAATTAGGCACATGTATGTGGTGATGGGTTGTAATTAGTATTTGGGTGGTGAACATGATGTAATCTCTGCAGAAATAGAAGTATAATGATGTACACCTGAAATTTATACAATGTTATAAACCAATGTTACTGCAATAAACGAAAAATTAAAAAAAAATTAGCTAAAAAAAATTACAACAGACAGGAAATAGTTACTAATGGGGTAAATATTAATCCAATATATAAATAATCAGTTTTAATATGAATGGTTTGAATACATCAATTAAAAGAAAGAGACTGTTCGAGTGGATTAAAAAAACAAGATCCAACTATATGTTGTCATTAAGAATCCACTTTATATATAAAAACACAGAGTAAAAGTAAAAGGGATAGAGAAATATGCTATATTAGCACTAATCAAAAGAAATTTGAAGAAGCTTTATTACTTTCAGACAAAGCAGACTTTAGAGAAAGGAAAATTATCGGGGATTAAGAGGGATACTACATGGGGCCAGCCAGGTGGCACAGCAGTTAAGTGCACGTGCTCCGCTTCTGCTGTCCGGGGTTTGCAGGTTCGGATCCCGGCTGCGCACCGATGCACTGCTTGTCAAGCCATGCTGTGGTGGCATCCCATATAAAGTAGAGGAAGATGGGCACGGATGTTATCCCAGGGCAAATCTTCCTCAGCAAAAAAGAGGAGGATTGGCATCAGATGTTAGCTCAGGGCTGGTCTTCCTCACAAAAAAAAAAAAAAAAAGAGGGACACTGCATAAGGATAAATTGGTCAAATCAAAGAAGACATAATAACTCCTAATGTGTATGCCTCAAAATATGTGAGGCAAAAACTGATAGAACTGCAAGAATAAATAGATGAATCCACCATGATAGTTAGAGACTTCAGTGGCCCTCTAACAGTAATTGACAGATCCAGTAGGCAGAAAATCAGTCAGAACATAGTTAAACTGAATAGCACAATCAATTAACTGGATCTAATTGACATCTATAGAATACTTCATCCAACAACAGCAGAATATACATTATTCTCAAGCTCACATGGAACACATCAAAATGGACCATATTCTGGGCCATAAAGCACACTTTAAAAATTAAAAAAAATAGAAATCATACAGTGTATGCTCTTGGACCACAATGGAATAAAACTAGAAATCAATAAGAGAAAAATAGCTGAAAACTCTCAAAATATTTGGAGATTAAACAACTCACTTCTAAATAACGTATAGATCAAAGAACTCTCACGAGAAATTTAAAACAATATTTTTAAATGAATCAAAATGAAAATACAGCTTTCAAATTTTGTGGGATGCAACAAAAGCAATGATTAGTGGGAAATTTATAGATTTGAATGGGTATATTAGAAAAGATGAAAGATCTAACATCAATAATCTAACATTTCACCTTAGAAAACTAGAAAAACAAGAGCATATTAAATCCAAAATGAGCAGAAGAAAGAAATAACTAAAATTAGAGAAGAATTCAATATAATTGAAAGTACGAAATCAATAGAGAAAATCAATTAAACTAAAAAGTAGTTCTTTGAAAATTTTAGTAAAATTGATAAGCCTCTACCCTGGCTAATCAAGAAAAAAAGAGAGAGGACACAAATTGTTAATATCAGAAATGAAAGTGGTGCCAACACTATTGACCCCATGGACATTAAAAGTATAATAAAGGAATATTATAAACAATTCTATGCACATAAATCTGATAACCAAGATGAAATGGACCAATTCCTTGACAAAATGTATCAAAATTCACACAAATGGAATAGATAATCTAAATAGGCCTCTATTAAAGAAATTGAATCAATAATTGATAAACTTCTAAAATAGCACAAGGCTCAGATGTTTTCGCCGATGAATTCTATGAAATATTTCAGTAAGAAATTATACCAATTTTCTACATTCTCCTTCAGAAAATGAAAGCAGAGAGAATACTTCCTAATTCATTCTATATATTAATATCCTAATATCAAAATCAGATAAAGACATTACATTAAAGAAAAAGTACTGATCAATATATCTCATGAACCTAGATGTAAAAATCCTTCACAAAATATTAGCAAATTAAATCTAGCAATGAATAGAATATATACCATAACCAAGTGGGATTTATCTGAGGTGTACAAGGCTCATTCAGCATTTGAGTATCTATTAATGTAATACATCACATCAACTGGGTGAAGAAGAAAAATCATATGATGATATCAATACATGCAGTAAAAGCATTTGACAAAATTCAATACCTATGCATGATAAAAAAAAAAAACTCTCAGCAAATTAGAATAAGAGGGAAACTCCCTCAACTTGATCAAGAACATCTAAAAAAACCTTTTAAAAAATAAAAAAAATTAAAAAAAAAAAAAGAAAATAATATTAAAAATTATTGTCATATGAAAGGTAATCAAA